CCATGCTACATTGTCAAGGGAAAATTGTCACAATCTCACCAGATTCACACTTGGCAATATTTCATTTGTAGTGGGGTCAAAAACATTTTTCACCCATCCAATCACATTTTTCTAAGTCAACTCTGACAACATTTTCTTGGTCCAAGTATCTTTTTCCTAAGTTGTCCTATGCATGGAGGGGGTAAGAGTAGATTGTGGGTCAAAATACATGATTTGGTTGGGAATCAAAAAGGAAAAGAACACGAAAAAAGCTCAGTTAACACTTCATCTTTTTTGGTCAGAATGAATAATTAAAAACATACCCTCCCTCCCGGGCCTCCCCCAACAACTTATCATTATCAGCAGCCCTTCATGTACAGGAGGAGGGGTTACAGATCCCCTCCAAACAAGACACGGGGGTGGATTTTTTTTGGGCACTATTTTATTTACATTGGGCCCACCCCTATGGGAGATTTCGGTATTAATTCTGTAAATTCCATTTCTTTACAAATGGAATAATACATTATCACAAAACTCATGTTAAAGAAATCATCAAAGCTGACAAACATAACATACATTGACAAATGCTTTCACTTATTTATAAAAAAAATTGGGTTCATTAGCTCATTAAAAAGCCTTCTCTTTAGCCCTTTTGTAACTTCACATCCCTCTCTTCCTCCCTCCCTCTCCCTCGTACGCAGGTGATGTGAACGCGCATTCGGACACGCACATTCATGGCAGCCACAATCATTTTCCTCCTCTGTATGTGTGTAAGCCTACTATCCAATGCTGATAACGTGCAAGGAATGGCAAGATGGCCTGGTGGGAGTTCAACAAGGTTCTATGAATTCAAGGTCACACTTTCTCTTTTCATCAACTTGGTTTTTTGCGATTTGATGTTTCAAAGAATTTATCAATATTTTCTCTGTTATTTGAAATAGGTGCAAACCAAAAGAATAACGAAGCTTTGTAAGACCAAAGACATCATCACCATCAATAACATGCTCCCAGGACCAGTTATTTATGCTCAAGAAGACGATCGAGTAATAGTTAAAGTCATTAATCAGACACCACACAATGCCACAATCCACTGGTATCGAGTTATTTTGCTTTTTCGCCATTTTTTTTTTAAATTCAAACAAAGTGTTCATATATCATTTTACGTGGATAATTTCAGGCATGGTGTCCGGCAGAGGTTATCTTGCTGGTTTGACGGCCCTTCTTATGTCACACAATGTCCAATTCAGCCTGGACAAACTTTCACCTACGAGTTTACACTCGTGCAGCAAAAGGGCACCCTACTTTGGCACGCTCATGTATCATGGCTCAGGGCAACTGTTTATGGCGCCATTATTATATATCCCAAGACTGGTGTACCCTACCCTTTTCCATACCCTTATGAAGAGCACATCATTATCCTAGGTACAAGAAGTGAACTATTTATAGATGTAAAAATGTTCATATTTATTGATGTGAATGTTTTTGGGAACATTGATTTTTTATCCTAATTTCTTTGAAAGGGGAGTATTATTTGAGAGATCCTCTGCAACTTGAGCAGGCTGTTCTAGCTAGCGGTGGAGGTCCCCCACCGGCAGATGCTTATACCATCAATGGGCACCCCGGTCCCAATTATAAATGCTCTACCAATGGTATGGTCACGAGACTCTCATACCGTGTCTATCTCTCACACAATATAGTTTTATTGCACGAAATTACATTATGCATTGAACCTATCACATTTATGCTTAGCTCATCAAGTAGACTTTCATTCAGCTAAACTTTTATTTTAAAGATTGAAAAATATTGTTATATCCTCAGATGTGTACAAGATTGACGTAATCCCAGGGAAGACGTACCTACTGAGATTAATCAACGCGGGATTGAATATGGAGAATTTCTTTGGGGTGGCTAATCACCAGATGACAGTTGTTGAAGCTGATGCAGAATACACGAAGCCTTTTACTACAGATCGTGTTATGCTCGGGCCAGGCCAGACCCTCAATGTTCTGATCACTGCCAATCAACCCATCGGAAGATACTCCATGGCCATGGGACCTTACATGTCTGCAAGAAATGTACCATTCCAAAATATAACATCAGTAGCCTATTTCCAGTACTTGGGTGCCACCCCAAATAGCGTATCTTTACCGGCTGTTCTTCCACGTTTTAATGACAATCTAGCTGTTAAAACCGTAATGGACGGGCTTAAGAGTCTTAATCCTGCTAGTGTTCCAAAAGAAATAGATAAGAATCTGTTCGTTACTATTGGCTTAAATGTGCAAAAATGTGGAAGAAAAAATCCACGGCAGAATTGCCAAGGCAACAATGGTGGAATCTTTGCTGCTTCTATGAATAACATAACTTTTATTCGGCCTAGTGTTTCACTCTTGGAAGCATATTACAGGAAGATAAATGGACATTTCACTGAAGATTTCCCTGCCTCACCCCTGAGGTTCTATGATTTTGTTAACGGGGCTCCTAATAATGCTCCTAATGATACTAATGCATTGAACGGAACAAGGACTCACGTCTTTGAATATGGTACTAGGGTTCAGATTATCTTGCAGGATACAGGGACTATCTCAACTGAAAATCATCCAATTCATCTTCATGGATATAGTTTCTATGTTGTCGGCTATGGCACCGGAAATTACAATCCAGATAGAGCCAATTTCAACTTGGTCGATCCACCATACATGAACACCATTGGAGTTCCAGTTGGTGGATGGGCTGCAATCAGATTTCTTGCTGATAACCCAGGTACTCTTCCAGGGTGCAAATACATGTACACACAATATTGTAGTGACGAATCTTGTATTTATTCTTAAGAAAAGGAATTGGTCCCATTTTGGGGTTTGAAAGTGCGTGGAAACACGTTAGTGTAGAAATGTGATGTATACACAGACACTATTGCTGAATATTTTGACATGGTGCAGGGGCTTGGTTTATGCATTGTCACTTGGAGATACATTTGACATGGGGCTTATCAGTGGTGTTTATTGTGAAGAATGGGCAAGGACCGCTAGAGACCCTACCTCATCCTCCAGCAGATTATCCCCGATGCTAGATAAGTAATTTAGGGGATGTAGAAAATAAGACATGGATGGTCTTTTTGTACATTTCAATGACAAGATTCTTACATGCAAGTGTGCGATATGTTCTGTTGATTTCTTTTCAGCTGATATGAATGATGTTGTGTAGATTGATAAAGAACTTGGTTAATAAAAGTTCAGCATTATATTTCACTATCCTTTTGCAATTTTTCATGTACCAAACGAAACCTTATTGCTAGATGTGTAAATGAACATGACAGAATAAGGGAATTTGAAAGCAAATGAATTTGAAAGCAAATTATTCCTATAGTTACATTTAAAGAATGAAATGAACTGATAATTGTTAAGTTGTGGAGTTTAGTTACTTCCGCTATACGGAGCCAGTACGCCATGAGGTTGTAGTGGAGATTGGAACCAGACCCATCCCATAGCCAAATTTCAGTAAAGATAGTTTAGGAATTGTGTACTCTTATAAGTAGGGAGGTGTCATTAGACTTTTGTATTACCATCATAAAAGAAAGAGAAGCTAAAGAAAGGGTGTAAAATTTTATCTTGTAAATATTTTTCATCATTGTGAATTACCGCAGTGGGAGAAGACGACATAATATCACATTGATGCATCTTAGTAGGAATTGAAAAATTGTTTTATTTTCACTACGCATGATCTCAACAGTGGTATCACAGTCAGGTTTGTGTTTGTTAGAAATTGTTCAACATCTTTGTGCAACCAAAAGTTGATTGTTATACATCTTTCTAGTTTCTAGCAATTAAAAAATTTTGTTAGAAATTGTTGAACATCTTTGTACAATCAAAAGTTGATTGCTTTACATCTTTCTAGTTTCTAGTAATTAAAGAATTTTGATTTTTATTCTCTTGAAATCTGATTTGAAATAAATAAATAAAAAAAAGGGAATAGACATGGTGGTCGGCGGCATCACACGTCGCCAGCACGGGCGGCTTGCAGCGGTTGGAAGCCGTGACTTCCAGCCGCAGAAATTAAGGGGCGGAGATCAGCGCCGCACCCGGAATTGAAAAACAGAAAAAAAAAATTAGGGTTTCCAGCAAACGATTATGCAGTGAAATTGCAGGCCCCCATTTGCAATTTAATAAAAGGGGTCAAAGTTGCAATTTTAAAACAAGGGCCTATTCTGTAATTTGTTAAATTGGAAGGGCTTGTTTTTAATTTTAAACTTGGGTCAAATTGCAAATTTTGAAAGTGTTTAAATTTGAATTTTAAAATAGTTTTAAATTTGAATTTTAAATGGGTTTGACCTATACATTTTAATTTTGACCCAAATTAAAATTGACGACTTTATATTATAATTAAAATTTGATTTTAATTTAAATATTAAACTTTGACCCCAAATTAAATTTTATTTTATTTAGAAATGTTGTCCTAGATTCAAATATTAATTTAATTTAACTTAGAGTTGTACTCTAATTTTATATTTAATTAAAATTTGATTTTAATTAAATAATTTCGTCTTGTAATTGTGGAATTAGAGTGGGACTCTAATTCGATATTTAATTAAAATTTGATTTTAATTAAATATGTTCGCTAATTAAATTAATTGATTAATATGATTAATTAATTATTTAATTGTTCCAATCCATTTATTTAAAAGAGTTTAGACAACCTTAATTGCTAGATTCTTGAAACGTGTTTGTATATAATATTAGATATTATATAGGCATACATTTATGTGATGAATTTATTATTAGTGGATGATTATGAATTCGATCATGTGGATGTGTTGAATGGTTAATTTTATTTTTATCGTTTCATGAGCCTGCGAGCTCTTAATTGTTTAGGGTTTGCGAGTTCGTTATTATTGTTATTATTATGGGCCTGCGAGCTCTTAATTATTTTGGACCTACGAGTCCGTTATTGTTATTGTTACTATGGATCTGCGAGTCCAATTTCATTTAGGCCTACGTGCCAACTAGTATAGGATACAGGTTGCAACTGAACTAACTAAAGAAACAAGAATAGGAAGAGACCATGGAGATGGAGCATTGTATGATCAATGCAATAACCCCTAGGAATTGGTCAGTTAGTCTTCCTTATGGCTCGGGAAGACTAGATAGTAAATGTTCATAATCGTCCATACTATTACATTATATTATATGTATGTTTATTTGCATGGTAGATATGTAATACAACATATATGATTGTTGCGATGAGACTTTTGAATGCAAAATCCCTCAATAAAATATTAAGTCACATTTATCGCCGTCCATCATTATAGTGAAAAATCAGAGTCCCAAATCGTCTCAACTTGTTGAGTACACTCAAGGATGGTCTATTAGGGATATGTTTGACACTATCAAATATTTGATATTTCTGAATGATGGGTCCGACTTAGTTGAAATTTATCTTTAGTTGAGTACACTCAAAGAGATAAATTTTAGAAGTATGTTAAGCTAATATATAAGATGTGTGAAGACAAAGAGTTGTTAGTTTAATGATCTGGGAGTTGTATGGAGATACAATTGATAACAGTATCTACTCAAATGTTATATTAAGGCTTGTTGAGTACACTCAAGATCTTGGTATAACATGCGGGATTCCCGCCCACTAGGGATCAAGTATGGACTCTATAAAGTTATTTGAGAGGGTCATAAATTTGAATTAAACAGTGGGAGCATAATTAATTTAATAAAAGTCCATGTTAAATTAATTGATGCATTTTATATATTATTCTTTTTTGTCATTTATATTTATTGAATCGTGGGTAACCATGTGTATTTGGGTGGCATACTGGAATTTGAGTGGCATATTTGAGTAGCCATTTTTAGAGACACTTGGTAGTGACTCAATTAAGGAAGATGTGGCTGCTATAATAATACGGTGATGACAATAGTACTACAACATGTATAATGTTTACATTACGTCACATGAGTTACGAAAGCAATGTGAGAGTATAGATGCTAACATATGATTTTTTATTTCAAAGAGTTGTATGATAATAATAATCTGTGGAAGGATATAAAACTTCCAAGCAACTATACCGATGCAAAGTGACAGAGGAACCTTCAGTTAATAATCATTTACTGAAGATGATTGGCATTGAGATATTGTCTCAATTGAGTTCAATCATGAACTACAAACTAAGTATTGACTTAGTTCTGACATAGATATTGACTTAGTTCTGCTATCTCTGTCAGAGAGTTATTCATACTAATTATGAATTATGATATGAATAAAATTGAATGCACACTCATTGAGTTGCTGAACATGCTTAAAATTGTTGTGTCCAATATCAAAGTTAATATTGGACAAGCCATTGATTTCTATAAGGGTATCAAGAGAAAATTAAAAAAGGGCTTTGGAAAAGCATCCAATATGGCTAATACGGTCAAAGCGAAAGACAATATCAAATCTAATGACCCTTACTTTCATTATAGAATGTAAGGTCATTGGAACAAATATTTCAAGACTTACGTCTAGTTCATTTGTTTCTTAGGTATTTGATACCAGATATGGAGAAACTAAATAGAAGTAGACCACTGCGAAAGGAAGAAGTTGACCTACATGTTGAAGATAAGTAAAGGTTGCTGCATTGTCTGTAGGAGTATACTTCTTGCCGTTGCCTTTTGGCTTAGTATTAAAATTAGAGAAATATTGCTCTGCTCCCACCATAACTGGAACATTAAAATGAATTTCATATTTGGACACGAACTATTTTAATGTTAGGACAATTATTGTTCCTGCTTATCTTGATTAAAGATCTTTATGGTATGGTAAGCTACAAATAACAATTATATTCTAAATGCTAAACATTCTATCATGAGTATAGAAGTTAAAAGACAAGTGATAATCTAAATAATATCTAAATCTGGCGTTGCAGACTTGGTCATACAGATGAAATGCAATTCCAATATTACATAGAGATAGTATGTGAAGTCAATTAATTTTGAATTATTTGACAAGTGCAAATCATGCCTATTAGGTACAATGACCAAATCTCCTTTTATTTGAAAGGGAGAAATGTCTGCATAATAAATGGTCTAATGCATACTGATGCATATGGACCCATGCCAAATGATGTCAGGTGAAGTTTCTCTTATTTCATCAAAATTACTAACGACTATTACAGAATAGTCATATATGCTTGACGAAATTCAAGCGTGCACTCTTGAAAAGTTCAAGGGATTCAAACTGGAAGTAGAAAAACAAATAGATAGAGATATTCTCACATCAAAATCTGATCAAGATGGGAACATCTTAAAGATTAAAATCTGGATTATCTAAGAGAGAATGAGATTCTCTTGCAGTGGACTCCTCTATATACACTGCAGCATAGTGGTGTATCTGAAAGGAGGAACCGTTAACTATTAGATATAGTGCGATTAATAACAAGCCATGCAAATCTTTCAAAATTGTTTTGAGGTCATGCACTGATTGCAGTGTGCAATACACTAAATCATGTCACATCTAAGTTGGTTAACAAAACTCCATATGAGTTATGGATAAGAAATAGTCCCAATTTATCTTATATAAAAGTTTGGGGTCATGACACTTATTTGAAGCACCTTAAATCGGATAAGTTTGACACTAAATCAAATAAATATGTATTTGTGGGATATTCAAAGCACATATTTGAATATAATTTCTATTATCGTGAAGAAAGTCTTCGTCTCACGACATATCGTCTTCTTCGAGAAAATATTTACTCTAGGAGAGGACAGTGGGAGCAAAATAGAACTTGAAAGAGTTCAAGAGTCCACAGATAAAGTTAACCAAGTAGATAAATCCGAATTTGATCTCATATCTGATATGGGACATACTTTTAATCAGGGAGTAAAGACTCCTGAGGACATGTCAACTCTATGTGAGTTTTGTAGGATCATTCAACCTTCAAGAAGGTGCGAATCCGTGATTACTAATTAGGTATTACTGATTCAGGATGATGAACCTATTGATTACACAAAAATAAAGTCAAGCGTTGACTTAAAAGAGATGGCAAGAGGCCATGAAACTCGAGATGAACTCGACGTATGTGAATAAGGTTTGGACCTTGGTCGGCCCTCCTGATAGGATAAAACCCATAGGTTGTAAATGGTTTATAAGGAAGAAGGTCGACATAGATGGAAATATCTGTACATATAAAGCAAGGTTAGTAGCAAAAGGTTAAGTGTTGACCTTGAAGAAATCTTTCGCCTATAGTCATGCTAAAGTTCATTCGAATTTT